GGGGGAGGGGGAGGAGGAGGAAGAAAAAGAAGAAGAAGAAGAAATAAAAGGGGTTTTTGGCTTATTTTCCTTGTTAGGGAACAAAAGCTGAATCTTGGGTAAGAACCTTTGGGGATTTTATTATATTTACAGATTTATCTGAGGAGATCAGCAGTAAGTGTAGTCTTGAATGATGAGTCCCATCCTAGCTAAGCTTTGTGATTTCTTGTCTCAAGGTTCCTGACAGCCTGAATAAGTGGCCTTTCAGGTGGCCTTTCTACCTCCGGGAGTCCTTACCTGCTTACACGGACTGGCTAGAAAACCCCATGGAGAGGCCTGAGGTTTAAGAGAGCCAAAAGAGCATGGCTCAATTTCATCTCACTTTAGAACTTTGCTCAGCCTAATTAGTTTGCAAATATGTAATTTATTTTGCTCGAAGAGTCATAAATAGTCTGTAGCCTCTGCTTCTCTTGACAGCTAAAGGGATGGTATTTACAATATGTAATCTGAACGAACTAAAACTTTATTAACTCCCTTTAATGAACTCTGATTCCCCTCTTAAAGGGAAAATGAAACTTTAGATTTTTCTCTCTAGCAATACCATCTCCATACTTGCAAAAATAATGTAAAAAAGTTTCTGTTTTCCTTCATTTGCCAGTTTCAATGTCATTAGTTTTATGCATTTCAATATTTGTCATACTTTTACATTTATAGCCAGATGACAAAATAGTTCCATTTATGGAACTTGATTATATTTAAATCAGACAGAAACATTAAATTAATGAAGAAAACCAGATTCTTTGCAGAACCTATACCTGTTGCCATGTCATAGAAAAATTCGTGGTGGTTTATAATTTTCAGAAGAATTGCATTATGATTTCCAAATCATGCTAACTGAATATAACTGTAAAATAATTTATGCCATTTGTCCTTAAAGAACTTGTAGTAGTTTGTAATCTAGATCTACTCTCACCTAATTTTTGAGTTTGAATTTCTAACAAATTATAGGAAAAGAACTGATCACACACCTCAGTTTGTGATTCTTTTGTTCTATTGTATGCGCACATTTGGGAAAAGAAAGCCTTCCATTAACTAACTTCATAATTTGAGGTATGAGTCTTTTATAAAGTATGCAGCCTTTTGTATTTCAAGTGGTAGTTTGCTTTCAGGTTCTACCTTGGGTGTTCAAAAACCCTGTGTTTGGTAATATGCCAAGAAATTGTGGATGATTTAATGTATGTATCCTCTCATTTAAGAAAGGCAAGTCAAATTACAGATCCGGGCTTTGCCTCCCCTGAATCTTTTCCTTTCCCTCTCTTTAAATGGGTCCAAATTTATGGAGCACTTTCTATTTCACACAATAATTTTTATGTTCACACAATGTTAATAAGCTTCATAATAAGGGTTATTGTAGCAAAACCCTTACAGTCAGAACTCAAAAGCAGACTGACTTCTTCTTGTGTATAAACTTTGTAAAACTTGCTTCAATAGGTTTACTTTCATGCCTCTCCCCTGTAATTTTGCCTCCACAAGGCCCCCCCATCCACGTTACCGTTGACTGTCGTAGCCCGGTGCTGTAATAACAGTTCAGCCACTACTTCACCTCTTTGCCTCTCTCCTCCGCAAACGTTCTGCTGTGAAACTCAGCAGAGGGGAGAGTCTTGATACGGAGAACAGAAGAATATGAGGAAACTTGGAGAAACGTGATTTTCTGATTTGCTTATAATGTAATTAAAGAAATGAGTTTCTCTCTGGCAGAAACAGAGGGACAACTCAACACTCCTCACAAGTCCTGTGAAATGACAGAGGAGGAAGAATGCCGACCAACCGTTTAAGCCAGGAAAAGCTTTTACTAGAAACATTCAGATAATCCAAGTAAAATGTGGAAGGTTTTTCTAGGGGGAGGTGGGGGTTGTTTTAATTATTTAATCTAATAACCTCCATTTTCCTTTTTCAATATGCTCTGATAGTTTGCTAGCTCTATTATCCATTTTTAACCTGAAAAGATGAACTGTCTGATCTCCACACTTTTGATTTCCAGATGATTTTATTTACAAATAAAGATTTAATAGCTTCTTTCATGATGCATTCACACTATATTATATATATATTCGCATCGTCAGTCATGGGTCATATAAAACCATGTCTCTGCAAATATGATCTTGGTTACCTATGATTTAAACTTTTATTTTATGACTGATTATATCGTGTATTAGGAATCGGTCATTTTATTTGGAGTGATTATATAAGCCAAACATAATTTCTTTCTATTTGTTAAGGCTTTACCACTTCCACTAGTAAATTTTTGTGCTATTTAGCAAAAGCAGTAAGATTGGAAGAATCTGTGGAATTTTGTTGGCTTCCTCAGAGGAATTTGTAAAGATAGGATATTTTAAAGCTACCATTATACCCAAAATTCTTTGGCAAATTGAAGAAGTTGGCATGACCTAGGAGATATTTCTAATCACCTTCACATCCCTGTACTTTTTCAGATGCTCTCTTCTTAGTGTCGTGTTGAATCCAGGTCTGATGGGAAGTATAGAATTAAAAAGAAATTCAGAGAAAAAATAGAGGAGGTGACAACCTTCAAACCAGCATTAAAAATAATTTGACTTGATTTAAGATTATCAAATAAATTATCTATTTTGGTTATGGAGTCAGCTTTATGACACTTTTCTACCATGAGTGGAACACCCCATACCCAAGACCAGAGTTCTGTATGTTTAATTCCATATATCCATGAAGTTCCATAGAAATAGTGGAATTAAAGTAGATAAAATATTTGGGATGCATACAATAAAGATGTTTTGTTTAGATCATTCTTATTTATTGAATATAGTGTGAATGCATCATGAAAGAAGCTATTAAATTTCTTCTTTGGTAATAACTGCATGGAATCCGAAGGCTAAAATCAAGGTGAAGGGCAGTGTTCACAAATCAACCCCTTCTTATATGTATTTTCTGTTTTTCAGGTGTTTTCTGGAAAGATTTACATTGAAATTATTCACTCAACTTTGTAATAGGTTGGTTTCTTTACTTATTAAAATATATTAACCATAGATATATATAATATGCTTTTTTTTCATCTCCTAGCAATGGTTGTTTTGAGCAACCTGGAACCAAATACAACTTATGAAATCAGGGTTGCAGCAGTAAATGGAAAAGGGCAAGGAGACTACAGCAAAATAGAAATTTTCCAGACATTACCAGTCCGTAAGTAATCATCTCTGTTTTACTTTCTGTTGCCATTCTCTTTGCTTGCAAACTTAAGACATCTTAAAATTCAGGGATGTGTTTCAACACTTTGGGGAAGTGAATTACATCTTTGTTGAAGTGGTTTCTGAAATTGGTGGCATCTAAGTTTTATAAAAATAACTTTGCTCTCTTAATCTCACAAAACAAACTGAGGGTTGATGGGGGGAGGGGGGTTGGGAGAGGGGGGTGGGGTTATGGACATTGGGGAGGGGATGTGCTATGGTGAGTGCTGTGAAGTGTGTAAACCTAGCGATTCACAGACCTGTACCCCTGGGGATAAAAATATATTATATGTTTATAAAAAATAAAATTAAAAAAAAATAAAAAATAAAATAAAAAAATAAATAAAATTTTAAAAAAATTAAAAAAAAATAACTTTGCTCTGAATGAGGCAAACAAAGCACACACACAATAAATACAGTAAAACTGCCCTCAGGAAGTTGTCCTCATCAGGAAGGTGTCCTATTTATTAATAGTCTGATTAATTGAATTATAATGCTCAGACCATAGTCTGTGAGAAAGTAGAAATAGTGACTATGTAACATGTCCAATATTTCATTCTTTTGATGAGACATGACTATTGCCTTTATCCCATAAATTCTGTAGGCCCAAAGTGTGAGAAAAAGGCACCACTGAATTAATCCATTTTTATGGTGACTGCAGAAGATTAACTATTGTAGCCTTGTCCCTGCTACTGTCCTCCTTTGGGGTTATTGTAAGGCTGTTGAATTACATAAAGTGAAGATAAATTTGAAAAGACTTCCATTTCCTTTACGTTGAATAAATTATTTGACAATGTGAGGAATTTGACTGTGACCCAACAAGCGCTATTATAAAATCTGGGCATCACCGTGCTTAATATGTACACCTAATAAAGCAAATTGGCGAGAATAATTTACCTTACCCTAATTTGTGACTTGCTCTTGGTTCTCACAGACTCTGTCAGATGTCCCCTTTTCTCCATTTCTGATGCTTTTATCTTTTTCAGTCCCTCCCTGTTTTCTCTCCAGGACGACTATTAGTTCATATTAACTCACAGCTACACTTTCAGACTAGAATGACTTTTCACAAATTTAAGCAGATTTGTACCTTCTCTACTTCTAATCCTCAACACCAGCCTTCACCTTCTGTCCACACCCCTTTTGTCCACACACACATTTGCATGCCTGCCCTCCTCATACCTCCTTCCTCAGTGGCCTCGGTGTTCTCGGCGTCGGTAAGTGGAACTCAAGTTTGGTCAGACTGTTTTCCTTTCCCTTTTCTGTCTTGGTTCCTCTCTCCATGTCACTGCACATCAGCACCCAAAGAGGTCAAGACCAGTAAGACCTTGGCTAACCACTCCAACTTTGTCTCCTCTTCAATTAGGCACTGTCCCCTTCTTTTGTTCATAGAACACCAACCTAGGTGCTTCAAATAGAAAACCCCTCTCTTTCTCTCTTTTTTTTTTTAATCTTTTCTTCTTAAATCATAATGCTTCTAATCTCTTAGTGTACTGCTATTGACTTACAGACCTCAGTCCTAGACATTGAAACTTTAAGGGCCAGGTCTAAGGGTTTTTTGTTTCTGTTTTTGTTTTGTTTTGTTTTGCTTTTAATTGTAAATATGCATTTTAGCTGCTTCGCAATTTTTCATAAGATTTATGTATTTATTTATTTGACAGAGAGAAAGAGAGAGAAAGAATGGTATGTGAGTGGGGGAAGGGGCAGAAAGAGAAGGAAAGGGGTGCTGAGCACAGAGTCCCATGTGGGGCTCAGTCCCATGACCCTGAGATCATGACCTGAGCCAAAACCAAGAATCAGATGCTTAACAGACTGGACTATCTAGGCACCCCTGTAGCTCTTTCTCAAGATTTTTTTGAGGTTTAAATGAGATGATATATGTAAAGTACTTAATATGTCATAACTACCCATTATTACTTTCTTGATTATTATTTATATTATTACTTTGGCATAAACATTCCATTGTTTAACTACTAATAGAAACTATTATTTTAATCAATTCCTTTTTGATGAAATTTACATTTGTTCTGAACTTTCTTTTCGAAGGAAGTAGCAATTGTAATGGAATCACAGATTTAGTATATTGTAAAGGTTAAATATAGACCTAAATATTTTAAATTTATATGTTAAAACATTTGTAACTGAAAATACAGTTCCTGCTGTATAACTATTATCTCAAAATGTTATTATCAAAATAATATGATTATAATATTATTAAATAAATGCATACTGTATAACACAGACATTCTAAAATGTTATTTAGAAATGATATTAAACTACCTGAGTATAAGATCCATTTTACAATATTTAGATTTTCCCACTATCTCTTGTTAAGTCTTTTTAAGAAATTATTTACTGGTTTTTATAAACATTTAATTCATTTATTGAAAATATGTTATATTGAATATGGATCATTTCATATCATAATATCTGCACACTAATTTAATTAATTTTAATGAAGAATCCTTCCAGAATACCTCTATTTAATTTATTTCTGTATGGCTATAATATACAAGGCTATTTTATTATATACTTGCATGTCACCATAGCCCATTGGCATATTTCTTTAACTATATGCCTTTTTCAAATAAAGTACTCATTTCATATGGCTATAAACACCATATTAAAAAAGATAACCTGCCGAAGGCAAAAAACAAACAAACACAGATTCTCCAAGTTTGGAGTCATAAAATCCTCTTCACTCTATTCTGCTTAGATTGTCTTGACATTCTTCTGAGTAGACCCATATATACTACAAGTTTCTGGAACCTTGCAAACTAAAGCATGTCTCCTGAAAGTTCCTTAGTATTACTATATTCCTATCTATAGGGAATTGAGGGAAAAAAGCATAGAGGATGCCAGTGCATGCTGAAAGACATCACATAAGTGACACACAGCAAGAAGTCTCCTTTCCTTGTTGTCAAGCAGTGATGGCACCCTTCACATAGAAAACTACATTTCACTAGATCCCTGTTCATATTAAACATATAAGCATCTTTGTTATAAAACCACCTCCATGGGATGAATCACATCAAAGGCAAATACGTCCATGATGTTAGAAGAAAAAATTACATATTGGAACACATGTCTATTGATTAGATATCACAAAAGTTCTGTGTTCAAATCTGCATCTACTTTAAAAATACTCATTAAGGGGTGCCTGGATGGCTCAGTCAGTTAAACGTCCAACTCTTGATTTTGGCTCAGGTCATGATCTCAGGGTGCTGAGACTGAGCCCACATCAGGCTCTGTGCTCTGCATGGAGTCTGCTGAGATTCTGTCTTTCCATCTCCCTTGCCCTGCCCCCTCCCTCAAAACAAATAAATAAATCTTTTGAAAAACACCCAATAAAGCTGATATGTAATTGCTACACCATTATCTTATTATCTTTCCCAGTAAGTGTATATTCCACGTAGTCTGATAACAATGTTTATATTAAAACACATGTACAAAATGTTTACAGAAATTAATATGAATAAACAGGATTGCACACTATTAATAACCCAAGAAATAAACGTTTCACTTGTCTAATGCAATGCTATCCTCAGAACATTTGCACGTCAGTGTAAATGATATTTTGGTCCTCAGGTGTCACAATTTTGTCATGACACTTCAGTATTTATGTCGATTTATGAATATTGCTGTTTCTTAGAGAAGAAGGGGAGAAGGGATCAGTGGTTTTATCACAACAAAAGGCAGATGGGAAAATGGCAAATTTAGGATCACATCATTTTTTTTTTTAACCACATGACAATGTTCTCTTTATTAGAATGAAGTTTTTCCAGGTATCTGAGGTGTGTGTAAAATCCAAGAATGTTGTATCGCTTATTTAGGTGAACCAAGTCCTCCAGCCATACACGGGCAGCCAAGCAGTGGAAAGAGCTTTAAACTAAGTATCACCAAACAGGACGATGGAGGGGCCCCTATTTTGGAATACATTGTCAAGTATAGAAGTGTAAGTACCTTTTCATTATCATTTTGTATAATTTTTTCAAATTGTATTAAATTTGCATTGAATTCATAGACATATTAGGCATGAATGTATATTAACGATGATAAACAGTACTCATAGAAATTAAACTGCTAATGGTCCATTGCTGAAATTCATCATGATAAATTGTGAAATACTTGTCTTTTGTGTGTGTGCATATAATCTAAGCATTGATCATCAAAAAATGCCATCTATTCATCTTGTGATTTCTAATCTTAACATTTCAGAAATGAAAACATTTTCCTTATTTTTTTCACAAGTTTAACAGGATGTTTTTGCCTTCCATTCTGCTTGATATTAGTAACTTCAAGCTAAGCCCCTCTTCTTAATTTTAGTTATTGTATTGTAAGTAATTAGTTATTGTATCAAAACGATTTCATTTTTTATTCTTATGAATTATTAGATTATTAATGCCTTAAATTAATAAGCCTTTTGATATGAATTGTTATTGATATTTAGTCACTTGATTAAAACACAAATTGCTCCAAACAACATTTAACAAAGAATGGCTTCATTGAACTTGTGGAAGAAGGATTAGTTCTTTTCAAGTTTAATTAGCACTAGCTAATATGGGACTTGGGATAGCTAAGAACTGCCTTGGGACTTATGGATGTAGAGGTGAAGGACATCCTCTGGTTGCAAAGTAATGAAGAAAGTGACATAGTGGACTTACCTTTGGCTGAAAATTATACCTAATGCCACTTAAAGTGGGTTCTCTTAACATTGCCCTAAGTGCTATGGAGTATTTGTGTCGCTTATGGAATATGTTAAAAATGAAATACAATTCTAAATTAAACTGTGTGAAATTTATTTTTTAGCATTTATGATTATCCCTATAATACAGTATCAATTTTACATTTATGTTTATGGGACACTTAGTAATACTTCCCAAGTTTATTATATTTTAGCAAATAGTGTTTTAAGTAATTGTTCCCTAATAGTCTATAAATGAAGCTGTTTTCCCACAATTTCATAATTTTCTAAATTATAATACATATTTTTTTAATTTAAACATCTAAGTTTTAAAGTTTTGTTAAAAGAGGAGCTTTTTTTAGGAGTTTGATTTTTGAACAGCATACTTAAATAATTAATTTTAGATATCAGTCTTTAAATTTAAAATTAATATTCCCTTTCTAGGATGCCTCTTTGTTGCAGGTTTCATTCTGGGAATGGTGAGCAGCTGGGGGTGTTTTATGGCTAACTGTCTATGAAGGTTTCATGCCTGTTCTCCAAAATGGCCCTGAATGGCTCACTGGTCCTACTATGAACATGATGGTTTCATGCTACTCAAGTCAGGTTTCATGACTGTTCTTGTTTGACATCTGGAAACTCTTTGGAAGGAAAAAGTCTCTAAAGATCATAGGCCTGAACAGAATCATGAACTGGACTGGAAGAACAGACTTCATTGCAGATTGTGGCCTATAATTAGACAATTTATGGCACAAAATACAGGTAGATGTAAGAATTTATTAGGCAACCCCAGTAAAATCCCATAGTGAACACTGAGATCCAATGAGGAGTTATAAAAATACATCTAATATATTTTCTACTAATATAATTTGTACCTAAAACTAAAATCAATGTTTGACTTATCCTTTCTGAAGAGTTGGATATTGGAAATAATACCAGTGCTATGTTGAGTTCAACCAGAATCATTTATTTCAACTGATGATAGCAAGTATTTATTATTCCTATTATGATTTTTCTTCATATACTAGTGGCTTTTATTAATACAGCATTATTTTTGAAGAATGTATGACTTCTTCAGCTATAAAATCAGGTATCCAAAATATTTTTCTTTATGTTCTTTCATCCTTAGCACATTGGCTTTTATCTTCATATAGATTATCTTTAAGTTTAAGATGGTGGATTCACATCCACATTTAGAATGTGAAGAAACTAGAAAAAACAAAAAGGTAATAGGCTGTTTAAGCTGAATTTGTCTTTCTCTTCCAGCAATACAGTACACATTTTCTAAAAACTCCACTGAGCAAAATTAAAATTGTGTCCCATTAGACAGAAATATTTCTCAAGACTATAACTAAATGAAAAGTGGTTATAGTTGAGTGTTGGGTCAACTAAACAATAGGGTCTGGGTTCTGTCACAAATTGTTAAAATAATTATCTTTTTTATTACAACAGCCATCTCCGTCCTCTTGGGCTACCATAATAAAATGCCATAGTTGCTTGGCTTAAACAATAGAAACTTGTTGTCTCACAGTCTGGAGGTTGGAATTCCAAGATCAAGGTGCCAGCCGGTTTGGTTTCTTCTGTGGCCTCCCTATCTGGCTTGCAGATGACTGCCTTCTTGCTGTCATGACTTTCTTTCTTTCTTTCTTTCTTCCTTCCTTCCTTTCTTTTTTTTAAAATAAATTTAATTTTTTAATTCAACTAGCATACACTGTATTATTGCTTCAGTGATTCATCACAGGTAGAGGTGAGTGATTCTTTAGTCTTATATAATGTCCACCTTAAATATTATTAAAGCAATTCCTCTCCATCCTTTGTACTTCAAGGAAGGCATTTCTCCATCTTGGTCATTATAAATATAAATATAAATATAAATATAAACCATTAATCAAAAATAAAGGAAAGGGGCGTTGGAGACATAGTTACAGGATGAATAAGTCAGTGGTATAAATGGCGCAGAATAAAGAATATAGGCAATGATATTGTAATATCAATTCAGAAAGATGTGATGTATCTGGACAGATGGTGCTACACTCATGGTGAGCCAAGCAAGATGTATAAACTTGTCCAATCACTATGTTGTACACCTGAAGCTAATGTAACATTGTATGTCAACTATACTAAAAAAAATACATTGATACTTTTCAACACCTTTTAATGGCCAAACTGAAACTTACAGAATGTGGGTGATCTGGTGGGCATAGGAAACAGATATCAGAATATAAGACTTAAAATCTATACAGTTTTGCAGCAGTAAGTGTTGAATAGAAATCTTCCTGTGGAAATTATACTGACCCCTCCACTCTCCTATCTCACGTCATTTGGCTAGCTCTGTGCATCCAAAGGCCAACCATTCTGATCCAATTTATCTTTGCCATATCATTTATGGTATGCCTTCTACTTCAACACTTTAAAATAATCTCTATATGTCTATTCTTTTTTCTTTCCCTTCCTTTTCTGCCCCCTTCATCCTGCAAACATCATGCTCTACAGGTCTAATAGGAAATTCCATGATTCAATGTAAGTTCTACGAATGTGGTGAAACAAGAGCAGATCTTGGGAAGGAATAATTTTCTCCACATTTTCTTTCTCAACAGATTAGTCCTTCACATTTAAAAATTTGCATTTTAAGGTTTGTTGGCTAGATACTTAGGCAGGCTTTGCTTTGATGGTTGCACTTGTATTGAAATAGTAACTATTTCAAAAGGTTTTTAATCATCTGTTCTCTTTTTATGATTCCAAGCCATTTCATCTGTTAGTTCCTCAAACTGCATGAATTCCACAGTAAAGTGCAATTGAGTAACTCAAAGCATTATTTGGAGATATGCAGTGCATTTTTTAATTGTGTAATCTCTATGGTAAAGACATAGGAGAATTCAGAAAGTAAGCAACATCATGAGGATTTTAAACTTGATTGCTTCTGGGTACCTGGGTGGCTGCTCCATCAGTTAAGTGTCTGTCTTCAGCTCAGGTCATGATCCCAGGGTCCTGAAATCGAACCCTGAATTGGGTTCCCTGCTTGTAAGGAGGCCTGCTTCTCCCTCTCCCACTGCTTGTTCCCTCTCTCGCTGTGTCTCTCTCTGTCAAATAAATAAAATCTTAAAAAAAAATCAATAAACCTGATTGCTTCTTTGACCGTTGCTTTCAACTCTCCATGTGCGTGGGACTATACGTTTTACAACCTGGGAACAACAATATTGAGATAAAATATTCCTTATGAAAGTGTTGATTGCTAGCAGACACTGAATCTAAGTATTAAACCTGCATTTCACCAGGATGAGGAAAGATAAATTATATCCTAATATAGAGAATATGTAACACAGATCAGGAACACGTATAGGGCACATGACTTTGTTCAGTTACACATTAAGAAGACAGAATTTATAAGAACAGAGCTAGAGTAGTGAAAGAATTAGATGTCTGTATGGATTCTTTGTGAAAATTAATGTCTCTAACATTAAGTCAGTAGGATTAAACCATGTATTTGGAGAATAAAGACAAGCTTATTAATTTCATAATGTATATGGAAAAATGAAAGAAATTATTTTATGTACAGAATATTTTCCATCTACTTTGTGTTGTAGAGTCAGTGTAACTCCATATAATTTAATAAATAGCTTTTTACATGCTTCCATGAGTTTTTTTACTGTTTTCTCCCTAATTTGATGATAGCTGTGGGATCATAACTATCACTTAGTGTTGGCACATTAAATAAGTCTCTGGAGCTAAGAAGGACTAAAGAAAATTAGTTGCTTAAAATCATTTGTGAAGAAGGTACTTTAGGGACTAGCAACAGTGCTCTAGCATACATTTCTGAGTCTTAATTGACCTTCTTAAGCTATTGGGAGTCTGGATGGCTGTATCTCAATGGCCACAGGAAAAGAAAAGATAATTTTTTTAAAGAGAGAGAGAGAGATTGCTAAGTCACCTCTCTTATGTTCAGAGTAATAAATGGAGCTGTAGAGAATTCTGGGGCCTTTTGTGAGGTCGTACAAGTAGAGAATAGCTGAACCACGCTACCAGGAAATCCAGGAACCAGAAACTGCCTTATGTGGAAATAGAAAATCTTAAAGCATAACATAACAGAGTCACAGAAACCTTACAATTCAAGTTAGTACAAGCTAATCTCCTCTTATGTCCACTGTTGATTCTATTTTCATTTAAGATGATATTAACCATGTATTCTCTGAGACTTCCAGAAGGATTACTGCATTAATTCTTACTATAAATAAAAACAGCCAGGGAGTCCTCTACAAATAAGAAAACCAACACCT